ACCCAAGGAGGAGAAGGCGGGGGCGGATTCCAAGTCTGGGAGCGGGAGTGAATCGGAATATTCCACCCGCAGCGGCAGCCAGCGCGGGGGGGCGGCAGCGGGGCCGAGCGGGGAGGGGGCTTCGCAGCGCAGCCAGCACAGCCTGGGGGGTGGCAGCGTGCGTTCCCACCACTCCCTCCACAGTGCCTACGCGGCCCCTGGGGGCGTCCCCATGGGCTACAAGCCGATGGTGGTGATGATGGTGCCACCTCCGCCACCCACTGCCGCTGCTGCAGTGCAGCCTCCAGGCGCCCCCCCGGTGCGTGACTTGGGCTCGGTGCCCCCCGAGCTCACGGCCAGCCGCCAGTCCTTCCACATGGCGATGGGCAACCCCAGCGAGTTCTTTGTGGATGTGATGTGACGGGGCTGCTGGCTCCTCCCCGCCAGCCATTCCCGCCAGAAACCAGCCACCCAGAGAGGTCTGGCCTCTTGCTTTTCGTGGTCCCTCACCACAAAAGAGGTCGGATGGACCAAACCCTCCCGATTCCGCCTTGACCCTGCCTGGCAATCTCAGCCACGGAGGTCCGTGTTGCTGCTCTGTGTCTCCACAGAAGCTCTGTCTGTGCCCGATCTCTCTCGTCTGTGACTCGCCAGCAGAGAGATTTGCTGCCCATTTCTGTTCCCACCTCTCGTGGTCTCTGGTCCTCAGCAGGCCATTCAGTGGGTTGTTCGGAGCGGGCATAGCCCCGTGGCCAAGTCCCACGGCTGGCTAAGCTGCTTCTCGAGTGTCGTGACTCAGGTCTTTCGAATCATGCACCCTCTGCTTCCTGCGATGTTTGTGCCTTGCCATCCTGGGGCAGCGAGGCTCCATATTCTTCACGTTGGCCCCTCTCAGAAGCCACCTGACCAGCCTTGGAAAATCACATTGTCTTCCCGGCGGCCTCTGGAGATGCCCAGCGGTGGTGGGATTTTCCCCGATCCCTCAGTCAGATTTTTTTTTTCACAGATTTGTGATCGGGTGGTTCCTTCTGCCTTCCCTTCACTGGAGCGGTTTGCAAAGGGACTTCTGCTTCCCCCAGGGGTGCCTGCAGGGTATGGTCAAAAAAGTCAAGATGGCGGAGGAAAAGGTACAATCAAAACTCCGCCTGCTTTTTCTACGCAACGTGTTGACCTTACCCTGCAGGCGCCCCTGGTTTCCACAGCAGCAGCAGCCTCGTCTTGACGGTACTTTCAAAACCTTCCTCTTGAGAGGGTCACAAAACCGGTATCAATGAAGTGGTAATTTTGTTTTGTGTTTTTATTAAGAAAATGTTTTTATAGAATTTTTTAAATTCACGTTTCCGGAGTTAAGTCGATTCCTATTCGTTTAAACTTCCTTTTGTATAAAGCATCCTGTCCCCAACTTCATTTTAACACTACAGCCCAGCCTGTCCTCTGAGGGGTTGGCTTTATTTCCCTTATAGCTTCGTTTTGACCAACTCTTTGTATCCCCAGGAGGCTGCCGTCCAAGCGCCCCTTTGGTGCCTATTCTACGTTGCTTTGCAATGGCCGTCCCTCCTCCCCTCTCACTCGGTCTCCCACATCCAGAAATGGAGACTTTTCGTTTGCAGCCTGTGGCTCCCTCAGTTCCGCCCCTCGGGGGTTCTTTCGGTTGGAGATGGTCAACTCTGGGGTGTAGATGAGGACCGCCTTTCGGCCCGCCTCCCCCGATGTGGGGCCGTCCTCCCTGGGCAGCGGGGCTGGGAATTGTGCAGGATGATCTCTGGGAGGCACCGCCTAGAGCAGATGGCCCTCGAGAGCCGGGAGTTGCAGAGGAGGAGAGCCCTTAGCTGGGGACGGCATAAAATCCCACTAAGATGGTATCGAGGAGGGTCCCCTGGCTGAGTTGGTAGAGTTCTTGCTTTGGTCGTGGGCTCCGTTCTGGGAAAAAAGGACCGGGGGTCCTCGAAGGGGAGGAATTTTCCCCAAGTGTTTGGTGAGCTGCGGCCTGCGCTCACCCGGCCCGCCAGTCCGCCCCCCAGCCCTGACGGTCTTTTTTCCAATGAAGCCAGTATTAGGGCATTCCTGGGAGTAACCTTGGCAATTTTACATGCCAACCAATGTTTCCTTTTTCAGAAATGCCAAAAAAACTAGATCCTTTTTTCACTCGACAGGCACCTTCTCTCCTTGTGAGGTTTGTGGGCGAAGGAATAATTCCAGAAGTCGCAGCTAGTAAACTGAGGTAGAATATTTGGGGGGATAAGCAGCACCCCGGTCGTGTTCCTCACGACAGCAGAGGGGTCGCAGGCATTCCCGTGGGCCGGCGGGGTTCCACCGGGTAAGGGGAGAGCCGCAAAGCCTCAAGCCACTTCCGGTTCCCACGTTGGGAGCTGAATCGTCTCAACGCGGGCGGGGGGCCGCGGGGCTTTGCAGCCGCCTCTCATCACTCGAACCCTGTGCAGGCACTTGGGCCCCTCCTGTCTCACTTCCTTCTTGAAAGCCACTGCAGTTTTGGTAGGACAGAATTGGGGACAAGGCAAAAGGGGAGGAAGGGGGCTGATTTTGTGCCTGTGCCTCCCCCCCCCATCTTTCTGCCTCATTCCTTTCTCCTTCGAACAGGGTACAGACTCTGTCTTCAATGGTGCTACTTTGCCCAAGCCCACGTGGTCCCACAAGGATGTTTTAGATGCAACAGCAGGCATCCTGTTGGGGCGGCCTCCGGCCCGGGGCCTGCCAGATGTGGTGGACTACAAGCTCCATCGGCCCCTTCTGCTGACGGATGGGGAGATGGGGGCGTGGTCCTGACGCGTCTGGAGGTCTCCGGTCGGAACGGCCGTCCTCGGGATCGGACCCCGACTATTTAGCCCTCCTGTATCTCTAGGGGGTCTGTGCATGCGTGTGCCAGGGCGTGTGTGTGGCCGGTAGCAGATAACTATTTTGTAATAACATATTTATTTTTTAGCTCTTTTTGTGTACAAAAAGCATTCAATAAAAAAAAACGTAATAAAGCCAAAGCGTGCGGCTGTGCGTTTTGTAAACCGAGTTGGATGCGGGGCTGCCAATTGGGAAGGGCGGCCGAGGAAAACCTCGCGCTTGGTGCTGTGGTTTGAATTCATCTGAGCCCGCAGATAAATCGTGAGTTGCGTAAGTTGCATAGCTTAGCAGGCCGAGCCGAGGTTTGGCTTATCGCGTAATCCGGTGTTCGTCGACCCCGGCAACTTTCGCGGGGCGCGCCCTTCAACTCCAGAGCGCCCCGGCCGACGGCTGAGGGCCGCGAGGCTACCGGCGCCAACGGCCGAATGCGGAGACAACCAGGCAGGCGAGGCCGCCCCGTCTGCGCTGCCCTCGGCAGGCTC